TTAACCAAATTTCAGTAGTTGACCACCCATAACCAATACAAAAAAAGGACAATTGTTTAATTACAGAAACTCCAATAATTATTTATCGTCTGCAAACAACTGATTTTAATTATAATAATAATTTTATTTTTTTAGTTTTTATTTAATCCTTTTATTATTATTATATTAATAAAAGAATTTAATCTTATAATAATATTTTTATTTTTATTTAATTCTATTATTATTATATTAATAAAGTGAATTGAAACGGTTATATATATATATATATATATATATATATATATATATATATATCAATATTTAAAGCGGGGAAGGATGCTATAACTCACACGATTACTTATCTCAAATAATTACCTGTCGTTTGTAGTGCCTCTTGATATTTTCTTCTCTCCTCGAACCTCCTTCACTCATTTCTTTCTCTCTCTGGGTACGGTCACACACTATTCCTTGTTTAAATTTTCAATGCTCGGAAACACTCAGATCTCACATTCATCCTTCAATGCTTCGTTTTCTTGTTTCATCCGGTCCATCCATGGATGCATATTCTCAGTTTCTGCTATTCTCATTAAATTTCGTTTTCCGGACCGCATTCACGCTCTAACAGTTCTGGCTTCGCTGTTCTCGCAGCTTTGTGGAATCCGATTTCATGGAACGAGTTGTCGCGGTTTTTTTTTCGCCTTTCATCGGCTAAGAGTTTTCTTATTCTGAATCCGTTTGGTTTCTAAGAAATTGCGCGAAAATCATAGGTGAAAGTAAAACCAAAGAACTGAAAAGAAACGGTAATATTAATTGCACCGAACCCTAACTTTTGCACGATTTATTCTCTTATAGATTACATTTAGCGAAGAGGAGAGTTGTTTTAGTTTGTTTGGGCATCATTGTAACATCACAGGGTGCTTCTTGTCGCACACTTACCTGTGTATTTTCCATGTTATATAGGTTAGAGATGTTATTTACTCTCTGTGAAACCATGATCGCTTTCCATGGAGACGTGCGTTTGGATCTCAGGTAACAAAGAACCTAGATGTACGGTATATGATAGTTTGGTTGTTTGTTTTTGATAAATAGATGTTTTATTATTCTATTTTCTCTTTGCAACTTTTGGTACAGTCCTATATAATTCAGTAGTATACTTTGTTGGTTCGTTGCTTTGATTATATCATTCAAACTCAGAGTTCCATTGTTTGAACATTAGAGAGAGATTAACATCGCACAACATATATAATGAGCACTATCTTTCTTAATTTTTACATTTTCATTTATACAACTTTTCACTATCTTTATATTCAAACTTTACCCCATCGAATACCTTTTTTTTTGTTCCCTAGTTGCTTTTTCTTTCTAGTTTTATCCACTCACTAGGATGAGTATCGTGTCGGGGAATACTTCCTTGGGTTTCAACGGACGTATTACAGTGTATAAATAATCTACCTTTAGTTGGTCCATGTTGCTTCTTCTAGCACTGTCCTTGAAGAAAAAGGGCAGGATGAGCTATTCTTGCAGTCCACATGTCTAATCCAATTCTCATTAAATTGATGAAACTGGATTGGTGAAATTTTTTAATGGAACAAGCTATTTTTGAATTCAAATGATGTCTGATAGAATTTATTCGGGATGCTTTTCCCTTCTTACATTTAGTAGCTCTACCTTGTGTTTGTAGTTGACTTTATTATTTTAGCTTTATTTTTGTGTTTATATTTTATGGCAACATTTGGGATGTGGGGTAATGAGTGTGCAGATTTACGTGAGTATTTTTATTTCCACGTTTTTGGTGTGTTAACCTTGCCTTCTCAAATCATACTATATATAACACAATTATTCACGGTGTGCCATCACGTAATATCATTACTTTATTCCCAATTTGTATTTTAAAGTGGTTTTGTTGTTTTTACTTTGTAAAATTAAATCTCGATAAATAGTTCGTTGTACCCTCATTTTAGTATATTTGAACTTTTATGTGGGTAAATAAGTTTGAATCTGAGATGGAATAAGTCCGTTCACGAAGCTTATCCATACGTTTGAAAACAACTTAGATTTAAGCAACATTGCATGAATTTTCAAAACTGCCTTGACCTAATTTGAGACAATGCGCAGATACTTCTCCTCTCTTGGAATGTTTAATCTTGGTTTATCCTAATTTACTCCAACCTTGTTTGATGGTAAGGTTTTATTTTGAATATTTCATTCAGCACAAGAGAGAATGGTAATGTAGGACATTGTGAATATTTAGTTCAAAGAGAGGCTTTTCAGAATCATAGAAAAATGGTCTAGAACATTTATGTTAATTTGGCTATGAATGCTCAAGAATATTGGTGGATATTTGTAACTAGGAACCAATATTTTTTTAAGAGACGTTTTGGAGAGCAATATTCAATAGTCTATTAGTGTTATGCTAGATCTATCGCAATTTTCTAAAAAACCATGATATAATCTCTTGTGATTTAATAAAGTATTAAAATATCTTAAACTTGGGTTTGTTCCTAACTTAGCCTCAAGTTAGCTCATTGAGGCAAGGTTGTCCCTCTACTTATATACATTATTTTGACCATATTACTAATGAATGTTTATCCTTCAACAAAATAAAATAGCAGTCTTGATGAACTACCATGGTTGCCTTGTCGAGTGCTACAAAATTTTCTGTGATGTTACAAGACAAATAAGTTTATAGAGAGATTGAGGACTTGTTTGACTATCTTCTGGTGAGTCTTTTCCTGAATTCTCCTGCCAGAACCATTGGGATGCAGTGATTCAGATAGTGAAGTACATTAACCGTGCTCTAGGCAAATGCTGACTGTGCCAATTTAACTAATGATAGGTGACCTTCTACTGGCTATTGTGCTAATTGGAACAAAATTGGTATCCTGGTAAATTAAGAAGCAAATTGTTGTAGTGAGATCAAGTTCTGAAAGAAAATACTAGGCCATGATTTTACTGACATGTTAACTCATGTGGCTGATAAATAAAATTATACTGTGATTTGAGAGCAAAAGATTCCGAGAGAGCTCAAGATTGAATAGACTATATGCAAATGATAGTGTGGGTTGACAATATAATCATGATAAATAAAATTATATCAAGCTTCCAAGATTATGTTCTATTATTCTATCTTCAATCTTTCATCATTCAGTTCTATATCATCACAATTTGCTTTCAAATCATACACAAAGTCATCAATAGCACCGTTTTAGTTTTCCCGTGGGTTTCTTATACTCTTCTATTATACTTCGTCTTGTATCTTCTGACATATTTTATACTCTCCTTATATGAGGCCCCATAAATAAAGCAAAACCTAAGAAGAACAATAATAGAGAAAAGCTCCTTAATTCATATGAAGAGGACTACTTTGAAAAATAATGTTTAAACACCATGCTGAGGTTGTTAACACATTAAAGGGAATTATAATAATGAAATTATATGATATATGATTAGATGAAATTATGTATATATTGCCTAGTTATGACCAAGTTCTAGATTAAAATACTTTTCATGTGTATGACTTGATGTGAATAGTGCATGATTAGCATTCAAACAGTCTACTTTGTGTTTATATTTTTCTGCCTTCTACACGCCCTTGTTAATATCTATTTCATTGAAAGTTTGAGTCTTAAATGTGTGAATTTTTTTATTCTTTAAAATGTGTTATTTGTATTGGGAAACATATTTAAAATTGTCATATAAGTGGTACTCATTATCATATTTGTATACAATTGCCGAGCTTCCTAAATTTAGTTTCAAGTTCACAACATGCACAATTACTGATATTTTCTATCTATACTTGAAAGGGGAACTGCAAAGCTCTTGCCCTTATTTTACTCTACAATGTTTGATTTTTAACTAATGCTGGTGGGTGGAATAAATTTTACCATGGATTCACCTTAAAGTCATTCATCATATTTTATAGAAAAAATATATATTGTAATAAAATATTTTTTTGAATTGAATTACATTAACTAAATTAGATTCTTTTATTTTTACTGTTATATACATTCAAGCTCAATATTTTAGTTGCTCTGCTAAGTAAATTTAGTGAACCACTATTTTTTTCCCCTGCTGGACCTTTTTTATTAACTAATGAAACCGAACGCTGAACATTGTTTGATGAGATTTATGCCTTGTATTGAATATTTTTCCTCATGTAAGAGCACTTTGGGCTTGAAGCATGGATCAAACCGTATACTATTTGGTCATATACAGGTCTTGATGCATGCATTACATTCTTAAAGCAATATTATGACACTGAACTTTAAGAGCTGTCTTTGTTTTCCAATTTTTATTTATCTGATTTCTAGAAATTAGTGATTCTACTCACTCACCTTCATAAAATTTAGGTAAGTATAGATTACACATTTCCTTTTCAGAAGTGATAATTATTCATTTCTCTTGACCTGCTGATCAGCTACATTAATGCAGTTCTGTTTTTCCTTTGTTTTTCTCTTCTTTTTTCCTTTGGATGTTGATGTTATCAAGTCAAGAAGAATAAATGGTGGGATGATATTTTAATCATTTATTTATGAACTGTAAGTGTAATTTTGGTTAAGGGTGAGTATATGCATATGATTTGTTGTAGGTTTTTCATTTATTGCGCATAGGCATTTAAAGTCATTTCATAGTTTGTATTTGTTCTGCTGGAATCTATACAGACTTTTGTAATGCTTTTATCGGATGTATTACTGACATCATGGTTGCTTTAATGTGGCATCTTTCACCACCCATTTAAAAGCCAGTAATAATTTTGAACACAAATAAAACAGGTAAAATGAATTACACATCTGTGTGGTTTGAAGAATTTCTTCCTTAATTTGAGTCTTAGCTTCTCAAAAGATCCTTCGTTGTTTCTGACATACATGCTAGGGTTGTTTTTCGTTTTTTGATAATAAAATATTTAAACTAATTACTTTGTGTTCCATATGCGACAACATTTATATAAGCACATTGAAGTTAAAATCTGAGTCCATTTTTTCTTGATAGCAATCGAAAAACAATCATGTCCTCCAAATGGATCAATGCAATTGCAATCTGCTGCAACAATCAAAATAAATCTGATATCAATGCTTTTGCATCACGATTATTGGTTCACTAGTTAAAATGATCAAAAGATCATACCCCAATTTTGTAGTTCCTGAAGGAGCCTTGTAGTGTTGTTGCTGTGGCTGGCTTAGCTGGAGATTCACAGGCGCTTGCAAATCCTCTCCGATGCCTAGACCATTTGTGAGAACAGAGCTTCTGTTTGTTTCGCTATCATCTTTTGTTCCATAGACCTGAGTTAGTAAGACTCTTTTAAAGTTCCGGATAAACAGTAAACTAGGTTATTCTCATTTAGAAAGTGGAACATTTAGTTTGAGAAGATTGTTTTAGTTTGATCTGCCATCCAAACCAATACCTTCTTTTTCAATTCCATGTTTTCTTGACTAATTAGGTTTACCTTCTTGTACAGTTCCACATTTTCTTGGTGTATGAGGTTTCCCTGCAGAAAGTAAAAGCAATATTTTAATTAATCAAATACTTAGATCATTAGTTTCTCTTTTTAAAGACTGACCTTTCGATTTAGTTCGTGTATTTCATCCATTAAAAGTTGATCCTGCATATCCCAATATTATGTTAATTATTATATCTTTATCTTAAAAGTTGAGCATTGCATTTTTGGTAGAAAATACAAACCTTTTTCATACGGACACCCCGAAGGCTAATTTCTAATTGATTCTCCAAATTTTGTAATTCTTTGACTGTCAAACCTGACAGTTCTTCCCCCATCATTTTCCTGCTACATCAAATTAGATGTAAAGATGTGTGTATGGGAAATATGGAACCTTAATACTTGATATTTCACGATAAAGATTAGAGACAAATAGGAAAATTGATATAAATTATGAAATACATTTGTGTGTGTATTTTAAATTACTGGACAAAATTAACAGATATTCAATCTAGTATTTTAAGACAATTTATCTCATGATAATAATAATTGTAACTAGTTGAGAAACAGGCACTCTGGGCTTTATGTATGTGTGGTTATGTATATTTTTGAGTTGGGTTTAGTTGCAAATAATGCCATGATTGAGAAGTTATTTTTTATAATAACTATTTTTATTGTGGGGTATTTTTAGAATTAGTTGAAAGACAGAATATTATACTTAAAACTGTATTCTATAGTTAGTTGATGAAGGATGGATTTTTTAAAATTTTGTATAATTAATTTAATTATTTGGGTTAAATATGCATTTCGTCTCTAAACTGTATTGCAAAATTGTATTTCATTCCTGTTATAAAGTAAGAATGTATTTGGTCCGTATATTTATCTAAAACAATGAAAATAATCCTTAGTTGTTAACTTGTACAATTCCTTCTCTTCCAAATCTACAACAAGTGAGCTTATCCAATCGATGGTCAATAATCCACTTATAATTGTTTCCTTTTAAATATAAAAGTGATGATGTGCAATATGATTGAAACATTTTGCAGTCAAGTTTCAAATCTCTATTAGTGACAATCGTTGAGAGGTGCTAAACAGAGCTTAGTTCGTGAAAATGAAATGCGCGGAACTAGTAGCAAGATGAAATTGTGTGCCCTAGAAAGAATGGGAGAAATGATCGTTGGAGGAAAAAGGAGTAGATCTGAAAACTGTAGAAAGCTAATGAACGGGAAAAGGAAAGGAAAATGTATTGGGACTATGAAGGAAGGAATCAGAACTTGGAAGGAGAGATAGTGGCGGTAACACACCTTACCAAACCCTCAATTGCTTCGTTTGTTCGTTAGAGACTGTTCTATTATTCGAGCACGATATTGTGGTGGTTGGTTCCCATTTGACAATGGTAGAATATCTGGTAGAAGGTTTAATACCGGTAGGTAGTAGGTGTGTTCGTATTAGCTCCCAAGGCCAGAAATAAGTGCCTCACCATTCTTGCTGCAATTTCTACTAATCTTGATTTGAGATATTCATCCAATCGAACCACACTCAAATATTCACATGTTTTTACATATTAATGCTTAATAAGATGACACATAAAATAAATTGACACCTATACATTATGTGTATAGTGTTCAAAGTGGAACTTTGTTTGCCATTTAGATGAGTCTCTAACATCCTTAGTTACTAAGGATTATTTTCATTGTTTGATGTAAATATAGGGACCAAATAACAGAGACGAAATATAATTTTTTAAAACATATTAAACCGCACAGACTACTCATGGGGGAAGTAGATTCCCACACTATAACTAATTCAAATAATAAAAGGGTGATCAAGTGCATGGGGCTTACGCCATGTTGATGGTTACCATGCCTGTCCTCAGATTATTTTAATCTTTGGGATAGTGACAGTTGAGGAACTTAAAAGAAGAGGAAGAGAGAGAGAGAGAGAGAGAGAGAGAGAGAGAGAGAGAGAGAGGCTGAATAGGCAATGGGATCGTGGAGGTTGTTGAAAGATAAAAAGTCCCAAGGAAATAAGTACACCAAATATTGCCTTTATTATTGTTAATGATGGTGATAGAAATAGAACTTTTGTTATTTTCTCTCAAGGGTTCTTAGTTGAGTGGAGAATATGTCTAATACTTATATAACACTTATTCTAGATCCTCATTCGCATGGGTTGAATCTAGAATGTTGGTCATTGAGATATTTTTTCTAAACTCTCTAAGCTACTAACCTTAGCTATCTTAATGTTGGTCAGAATTCTAGTGCAGATTTACCAACATATTTATTTAGCACATATTCAATACTGCTTTCAGAGTAAAATATTAAGGAAATCAATTACAGTTTTTAAACTCTGAAGGGTCAGCATCCACCCTGAAAGACAGAATTTTAGTCAACTATAATTGTAGTTGTATTAATAGTTGTAATTAGCTATTTTACTTTTTCCACAAAACAGATTGTTTTTGTCAAACTCTCTGTTTCAATAATAACAAATTTAACAAGTCAACACAATAAACACTATAAACAAGTCAACACACTAAAATAATGTTTCTAATGAATTCTCTTGATTTCCATAAATCATGTCATTCAATGAGGAAAATACAATATTTAACAGTGTATTTAGGCAATTGGGTTGTTAACTGTAGTTTTGTGAGTAGAGAATACTCTGTATAAGGCTTTGGTCTCAGGACATCAAGTGCGTTGTTGTTCTCTGTTAAATACAACATGAACTGCTAAAAAAATTCATAATTTGCAATTGACATCAGTTATTTTCTATGAATGATTGCTATCATGCAGTTTACAATGCAGAACGAATGAAAGTTATTTTGTATTAGTGAGGACAAATCCATTTATAAGAAATCCATCCAAATCATCTATTACAAAACATTAAAATAACAATGAATCCAATCAATCCATTTAATTATATTATAATTCATTGTCCATTAATTCTTTTTCAAAATGTTATAGACCTACTGATAAATACTTAATGGATTGAAATTAATCCAGCCTTAATTATTTTCATATTTCAATCTTTTTTATTTTTTTAAATGTTCAAAAAATGTATTTTAAGAAAATGTTAAATATTATTTTAAAATATATAATTTAAAATCATATGATTAATTTCAAATGCGTTAATTATTAATTTCTTTTATACCATTATTTTATTGCGAAGGATATCAAAGAGACTTACATTCATTTCTCATGAAACTAGATGCATTTGTTGGTCATCAACACTTTAAATCATTTAATTCTATAGATATTTCTGTGAAGTTCTTGTCTTGATGAATTATGTATTTGTATCTTTATTATAGAACCAAAGTTTGTATTGTATATGTACATTGATTGAATATCTATTTTCACGAAAAAATTGTGAATTGATGTATTGAATGAATTTGTTATTAAATGAATCATGGATGGATTTGAATTTTAAGTAATTTAATATATCGAAATGGATCAATGAATTATTACTATTTGATCCAATAATAATCTGAATTAAAATTTATCCTCAATCCATTATGGCAAACCCTATTTTATATAATTACAATAATAACTACCAGCAATCCTTCACAGATCTTTTCTAGCACACCTCGATTACGGTTCCCATCACAGGTCAATGCATTTTATGCTCTGCGTTGCATGAAATGTAAAGTATTCCTAATGCATGTTTACGCACTCTGATCTCTATAGCTTTCTTATGTTCATATAGGAAGAATAAATTATTGAAAATGATGAATGGTGTCAAATACGCCGAACGTTTATTTTTTGCTAGTGAATATTGATTTATTAGTTACAGCTATAAATACTGGAGTAATTATCTGCTGAACCAGCTTCTTAATCACACATATCTATTGAACAAGGTATACAATAACTACACATGAAACTAATATGTTAAATGTGCTGATAAATCTAGATTGCTATCAGAGTTCTTTTTAATGTGGATTCTTCTTTTAAACTCGACTTTAGGATATGCATATGTTCTAATAAGGGGCGTACCGGTGACTTTCTTGCAAATTGTGTAATTGTTGCCTTAACATTGCTGCCTCCCTTTGCCAAAACTAGAAATTGAAAGAAATAAATTTTGAATTGATTAGATATTAGAAGAGTAATCACCAGACATATATATGCTTTCATCAGAAATAAAGTTTTATGTTTTTTTTATTATTATTATTTTATTTAATTATATGCAGTATGAACAGGACATAAACTTATTTGGGCACTTATAACCTTATAAAAGAGCTTGAAGATCGGTTAATTTACAATTAAATTGACATGCGGGGTATTCTAAACTTGTTTTGACTTTCGTTTCGTGACCTTGTACATTGTACCAACGGAGGCATTTACTCAAGTGATTCACCATGATCAGTCCCTGGATCTGTCTGAAAAACCCAGGATTTCTGTTTCCGCTTTTGTGTACAATGATCTCCAAGCGTAGAAGTACTCGAGAACTTTCTGAAAATTTGTGCATAATAAAACATTTTCATTTTTATCAAACTAGTTAATATTAACTGCTCTACATTTTCCATCCAAATAGAAATAAGTGCTGCTCACTGCAGAAACAACCCATCCTAAGAAATATCAATTGTGAGATTATTCAAACGTAAGAAACTGCCAAACTAACAGGTGGCAGTACCATGCCAGCCCTAAATTATTGATTATCTAGTTGTTGATGTTGATAGTTTAAACTTGGTTCTATGTTTTCGTTTGCCTACAAACCCTGTCGAAAACAAATGAAATGTTTATGCTTAGAAGGTTTCTCATTTTTAGTTGGAAGGATTTTCTATTTGAGCTAGTAATTCAATTCGGCAATCTATTTTCTCGTCTTGTGAACGGATGGAAACATTATAAATTTAAGAATGTTGAATAAGCATTAAACATGGCGTTTTAAATAGGTGACTTTTGGGAATTTGTAGGTTAAGATACGGAAGATTTTGTAGGAATTTATGTTTTGTCTCAACTTGTTATTAGGTTTCAATAAAGGACAGAAAGTAATAGAAAGTGAGATAAAATTTACAGTGAGTTTTTGAGACAAATTTATATTGTGTTTTTGAGATAAATTTTTAGTCATTACAATTTGCTTAAGAATTACTAGTGCATAAGTTTTACAATTGAAATAGAGTAGTTGTTCTGATTAACTGTGTCAGTACAACTGTTTATAGCTTACTTTGTCTAGTAGGCAACAGTTGTGAAGGTCAGCTATAAGAGAGCGAAATGAGGTTGAGTTTTATTCTACTATATTCCCCCTTCAAACTCACGGAGGATGAGCAACTCTGAGACATTGTTATGAAGAGCTCTAAAATGGACTGCAGTCAAGGCCTTGGTTAAACAATCAACATGTTGAGCTGGGATATGGTTGACTGAGGCTCTTGTTTTGAACATTTTCTGAATAGATAACTATCACTAACTCCAAATGCTAAGAGTGTAGCACAATATAAATTTTTTCTATCTCTAGCTATGCTCTTGTAGATCATCAGTTATTTCTTGATAAAGCTTGTATTATGAGATTTTCTAGGAATTTTGAGAAGGGCTGAAACTCTCTTCCATAGGATATGTGTAGGAGTAACTCAACCCGGTTCTTGAATTTAGAAAAACATTGTTTGCATCATTGAGGAATAAATGAAGATGCCGGATGGGTTGATAACTTAATGTGATCCACATTAACTGCCTCATTCTTATGATGACCTATGAACAATATTGTATGTTATACAAAGATGGGACATCTATTTAGGAAGAAACATTAATTGTTTTCAGTGACATAACTTGAAATTGAAGTATGCAGACTTGGTAAAAAGTTATATGTGATAGGAGAGTTCCTTCATGGTGTATGTTGCTGATTATTGAACACATGAAGGCCATACTTCCCAAGTGTTCGTTTCAAGAGGACTTCATAAGATTTGACAAGACAATGTTGGTTGAAATTTAAAGCGAACTGAATTCTCCCTATGAAATTGACTAACGCTCACAGAGCTTTCGTGACAGAAGGAACAAGAAGTGTTTTAAAAATGAGCGAGGTGTGTGGTATTTAAGGAGAATGAAACGATGTTGAAACTAGGTAAGGTAAGTGATTGACACACCTTCACCATTGCCTTTTATGCGCGGTGGATAGTTTTCCATCTAGTTTTCCAGTTGTGAATTTGTGATGTAATATGTTGTGTTGCGCTAGATTCAGGTTACTACTACCTACTCTTGAGTAAAGCCTAAGCTAGTTGCTTGTAGGGACAACTGGAGTGTGAAGATTGTGGATTGACTACTGTCTGTGCTTTTATTTCAAATTTCAATTAAATGTTGTAGAAGCTTTAGGTTAGTTAAAGATCAAGATTAGATTATTCTTGTTAGATCTGATTTGATTCTCCCTTATCTTATTCTTATATTATTTTGTAATCAAGGTGGTTAGGGTCTACCATTGCTAATCTGCTAGCTCTTACATAACTCATCTAATTCTAATCGATCAATATTTATTTTGCAATCAGGGTGCTTGTGGAGTTAATCAAACCTTAGCCTTCTCTAGTAAAGTGCTTCAATTCAGATGACCCATTCCGTGACTTTGGTTGTGGGGTTTCCTCCAAGAAGAAAGACAGAAGGAAGTCAATATGTTAATTGTGTTATGATTTAGCCAATATGGATGTTTTCTAGAAAAGAATGGTAAAGCATTTTACTTTTTGATACATGACCATGCCAACCAAAAACACAGCCGTCTTACTTAGTTCTTGCTTTTATTTTTATTATATAAACTGGGTACTAGATTCTCAATTTTTATTATACATTTGATAAGTATCTGTTCCATTCTACCCTTCAAAGAGTTAGTAATGGTGTGTACTGAATCCTGTAATTGAAAGCGGTGAAGAAGTGTTCGACATTGATTTGCTACTTGGACAGTTGCCTCCAAAATTATTTAGTTTGTTCTTAAACTGTAAAATTGTGGTTTCTTAATTCATCAATGCTCTGGAGAGAAAAATGAAGAAACAAACAACTTGAGGATGCAAACTACAAATGATATTTTCAGTCATCCCTGTTAACACATTCAGGCATTTCTAATGCTCTATGCAACTACACGATAATCTCCGAAGTAATTCATGCGTTGATTGTACCTGCTCAGGCATATATTGGTGTTAGATATTTATAAATACCTTAATTTCAGAGGCTGAACTCCGTATCTGACAATTTTCTTCCTTTGATTTGTTGTATCGTTCAATTACTGATTTCATGCTGGAAAAAGTCATTCAAAATCAATATGCGTCAGACGTGTGCTCTGTTGATTTAACATTCAACTAAAGAAAATAGGACCATCCTGTGCAGATTTAGAGAAGAAATATTTATGCCTCAATAATCTTATCAATTTGTAAACTGGTTCCCATGTCTTGCGAAGCGAATATGTAACTTCAAAACTACCTCTCCTCTCCCTCGCTCTTGCCCAAAAGGGGAATTAATTGTGCTAAGCGAAGCTTACTTAAGCTACATAATAATGGGAAGTTACAGATTCTAGTAAAGTCACTTTTAAATCAAGATAGATTAATTAAAAGAGATGAAACCTACCAACATTTATACTTCTCAATCAATTTCAGCTAATAATAGGAAGTTCTGAAGAATGTTTAAAAAGACTAATTTGTTTTTGCACGCTAAATTTATTAAAGGAAACATAATATATCAAAGGAAGTAAGAATGTAAGACATAAAAAAAAATCAAAACAACTAAATATATTTAAGAATATAAAAAAGTTATTCTATTTATAATATTTCTTCTATATCAATCATTTCTAGTTTATTGTTTTCTTGGAACGTCCTTGTAGAGAATTATTTTTAGTGGATATATGCTCGGTATTATCATGTACAAGGGGTTGTGTGCAATTTTAGTAGAATCATTAACAGCTTACTATGATCCTCATATTTTTTTCTTTAAGGTCATTAACTATGATTTTCATTCGTTATACCTAACATATACCATGTTTCATAACTCAAAACTCTACTTATATGCTAGATCCAATTAACTATTTTACCTTTTTTTCTATGCTACCTAGTTTCCTCGTAGAAACATGTAAAGTTTCTTCTTCAATAATAGACTCACCATGGTATGCTTTTATAGTATGGATAAGTGAATTACTTTCCATTCGCCTTTCCGTTTAACCTATATCAACTTAATTATATTATATATGCGAATTTATATATATATATATATATATATATATATATATATATATATATATATATATATATATATATATATATCCACTTCCTTCTTTCTTTTTTTCTTATTTATGTATTAGTTATTTATCTAGACTGAATTGTCAAAGTTAAAATTTCATACGTTAACCTGAACCAATTTTATAATAATATAATAAAAATTTCTTTTATCTAATAGTTTTATGATTATATAAATATTACCAATGATGTGAATAAATATCTTTTATTTAATAAGTTATTATCATAGAAATCAGAACGTATAAATATTAAATATATAATAATAATAAGTATTAAATCGAATATGACTTAATTATAATTTTAAGTTAACAATTTAGTATTTTTCATGTATTGATAGTTTAGTGGTAGCTAATGGGAGATGATATACAAATAATTACAAAAATTCAAACATCCATTACAGAACCTAATTTATTATTATTATAATTATTGTTGAAGATAAAACTAATTCGTAATATGAGAAATAGTCTTTCATATACTTAAACTATGATATGAGATAGATAATATATAACTTTCAACACACTTTTTCAATAAAATTTAAGATAAGTGATACTTTAATCTGGATTAAAAGAGTACCTTTTGACTCGATACAACAAAATATTATATGACATCACATGAATATATGAGATTTCTAATTCACTAGAAATAGACAAATATTTTTAACTCAATATAATAATTGAAAAGAAGTTACATTTTCACTAGACAAGTTACATTTTGATTACACAAATGAAGCATAGAAGGATATATACCCTCCCCGAAGAAAGAGAGAAAACAGAACCAACAACAACCCCATTATTAAAAATCCAAACTTATATAATTAATTAGCTGCTATCACACACGAATGCCTTTAAACGTGAATACGTTGTTCTTGTCCACGTGTCCCGACCCTAAACCCACTAACAGTAGCTGCTTCCTTAATTGTCCCTATTGCTTATTCTTCTCAAAAATCTTGTATAAACTAAAATTGAATACCAATTTTATTTTAATTAGTCAGTTTTATAAGATTTAATTAAATATCTCCTTATTTTTAATACGATATCAGAGACAACATGTAGAGACTATTGAAAAATTCTCTCAAAATAAAGGAATGTGATAAAATATCACATTTATTATAGATAAAATAACGCTATGGGCAAATTGACAAGAATCATTATCCCTAAAAAAGTATTTTAAACTTGTAAAAAATAATATAATATGATTCCTAAAGAAAATTGTATGTACTGACTCCTTTCATACTAAATTATTGAGTCTGGATAATACTATATAATATAGCATTATAATATATAGATTGTAAATTTTATTTTATTTTATCGGTTTTGTAGATTTTAGTTAAGTTTTACTTAATTTTTAATAAATATAATTTCTTGCCTAATTAGCTTTTCTTACTTAATTGACAAAACAACAATTTTAAACATCAAGCATCTCACTAATGTGAGCTAAGTTTCAACTAATAAGCTTTGCTGGTAAAAGAACATAAAGAATAGATGATATTCAAGTCTTGTCTAATACGCCACTTATGTGATGTTTTACCACTAACTCGAAATCTCAAATTTAAAAGATGATCTGGGACACTCATCTATTAAAACAAATATCTTTATGGCTTTCATTTTCACATATTTAATACCATGACTAGTTAAATTATTATTAGAGTTAAATTTAATCACTAAATTATCTTATATATTTTGATTATATTTATATAAAATTTTTTACTATTTTTATTTATTTATTGACTATTCTGATTTAAAGAAGCATAAACTAGTTGAAATTATTAGAGATCGAAAATTTCTTATACATTCTTGACTTAAGATAAGATATTTAAGTGACTTACATCTTAAACTTAATGTAACTTTATTTTATTAAATTAATGTTATTCTTTATTTTAGAATGTACTTATTTTTGGATTGCGGCTTATCACAATTTTTAGAATGTACTTATCATCATAAACATAGGAAGAAACTAAGTGGTGAACTTGGACCTAGATGATAAGGAAATAGGTTTTAAAATGTAAAAGTAAATTTAATCTTTCAAGGAATCAATCAATTAAAAAAGAAATTCATTAAACATATTTATCATGGAGTAAAAAAAATCAATTTAATTAGATTAGTCTTCCTATGGGGAGGGAAGGTAGATTACCTTATATTGATTTACCTGGAGAGAGAATACGAAAAAGCATAAATATAAAAAGATTAAATCAATAAAAAAATACGGGTACAAAATTCAACCTTAATACATTGTATCCGTATTTCAATTTTATTAAAAAAATTATTTCACAAATAATACTTAGTTTCAATTAATTTCTCTTTCTTTTTCTTTTTTTTTTAATCTGAGATACTTATAAAGTTAAACGCGTCAGAATTTAAATTAAATATTATTACTTGACAATAATTACACACTTGTAATTTTCACAAATAAACCAAATAATAAATTTGTTTGACCAATGTAGATATATTTAGTAAATGATTTTATCTAACAATTCTATGGTTATTTTTTACCCATATATTACTTATATTATCTTTAAATTTATGGCATATAACTTCAATATTTTGTTAGTGTTTTAATATAGCTTCTCGTTGTTTTTAATAGTATATATTTTAATATAACTCGAATTTCACCATAGTTAGGTCTCAGACACTGAGCATTTTTATATTCCTTTAGAGAAATATATGATTTAAATGTTGTTTCCTGTGTTTAAACAAGGTTATTCTTAGTTGAGTTTTTATAAAATATAAGAAAGTTATTAATTGCATAATATTATCTAAAATGTTGTTCCCAAACTTTTATTTACATTCAAGAACATTTCTTGCAGAAAAATTCACAAACACTCAAAAGGTGGTGCCCATTGTGTGATAAACTAAAAGTGAGTTACAAACTCAAAAAAATAAAAATAAAATTGTGAGCTCTTAATTTTGTTTGCCACCACGAGACTTTTAAAAACTGAGCTAAGAATTCATAATTAGTTTTACTTCTAAGGAATTTAATGGCATTCACCATAAAGGAACTCACAATTTACAAATGTTGATTCATATATATGTTGTCTTGTTAGGGTGGAATCCAACCATGGTGACTTTGTGGGAAATGAGGGGAATATCACTCTTTAAAGTTTTATAACTTAAATTAATATTTTTAATTTTTATTTTCATTATTTTTATAATTTTTAGTAACATTTATAATTTTATACCTTCTCAAATTCAATAATTATTAAACAAATATAATTGTATATTTATAAATTTGATATTTTATCCTTTTATATTTTTTTTTATATTTATTTATTATTTATTAATAATATATATGATTTCTCACTTGTTCAAATCCAATATATTTTAGTTTGTATATAAGAAGTTTTACATTATTTTGAAACTCATGAATTTAACTTCATACATTGTTATCTTGTATTTTTAATTATTTATATATATTTTACATTTATTTATTTACTTATTATTTATAATCTTAAAAAATTAAACAATCTTTTTTACTTCATTCAATATAAGTTTGATAAAAAAATACAATTAACTTTATTATAAAGAGAGATATAATTAACTTAATTTTACAAAAATGGTTTATAAGGTGGTGTTTGTCTCATTATTTATATATTATTTTAATGTTATTAAATTTTTAGTTAATCTAAAATTTTATCACATCCATTAAATCGACAATGAATAGTTCAATATCAGTATGATAGTAGTGGGTTCGTTTCAATAATTTGTTACCAATAGTATCTCAATATCGCGAATTAACCTTAATACCATATTATAAACAAATAAGTATCTAATTCAATTTTATAAAATTGATCTATATTGTGAGTTTCCTACATGTTAAATTCAATTTTACAAATGAATTTGAAGTAACGAGTAACAAAAATATCCAAGTTGAGAACAAAAATTGAATATCAAGAAGAGAATCAAACAAATTGAATATTAAAGATAATTGATAGAATATATCGAATATTACATATGAAAGGTGTTTGAGGTTAGCGAGGGAAGAGAAAAGGGGAAAATTAAAAAAGAGAATAAAGTAAAATCAAAGCATAGAGGAAAGCAAAAAAATATCAAAAATAAGTTATAAAAAAAAAAAACAATGTGGTTGTAACTTAATGATTTAACAAAAACAATTATAATGTCATGTATACTAGAGATTACTCGAAAGGGGTAAAAACGATTAATAGGAAAATACATCATTTTTATTTTCTTAACAATTACAAAAAATAATATAAATATGAACAAATAAATATAAAAGACGTAATAAATTGTATTAAGAAACTTGCATTTTAAAAAATGATGTAAATAAGATGAAAGATTTTCAATGGAATTCTTAATAATTTGGGTTATCATTTTTATTGATTTTTTGTACTAGTTTCTGTTTTATCTTTAAAAATTTACATTTGACATCAATTTGTATTTTCAACAATTTACTCTTTCAAATAATTTATATTTTCGTATTTCCTTTAATTTCTTCTGGTCAATGTTTTTAAGAAATTATTCCTTTAATTTTCGTCCTTTAAGAATTTTTGCATTTCCTTTAATTTCTTCCCATCAATGTTATTAAATAATTTCTTTCTTTAATTTTCATCCTTTAAGAATTTCTTCCTCTAATTTTCATCCTTTAATTTTACAAATTTTGTTCTTATTGCAATGAATATTCATTAAGTAAAATTTAAATTAATACTTTAAATCCTAATTTACAATCATACTTAAAATACTATCTAAATTTAAAAAATTAATATTCTTTAGGGTAAGTAAAAAGAACTCACAAGTGATAAATAATTCATGTTAAATCATTTGTTGCCGAAACACTCGTCCCAATTATATTCTATAATGTTGGAAGTCTTACGCTGATTGCTCATATCATATGTTATAGTTAAAATACCTATTAAACTATTTTATATATTATCGATTGATTTTATGTTGAAAGCTTAACATGGTATAATAGTTAAAATCTAACTTTTTTTTGTTATTGTCTTGAATCAAAATTTGTCCTTTTGTTGTGGATCAAAAGTACTTTTTGTTGTTGCTTTTGGTAAAAAATTGTTCTTAAATAACTTTTTACCTGATTCGACAGATTTCGTTGAGAAGACGTATTGAAAGTCTCATATCGAATACCTCATATCATGTGATATGGTTTAAATATATGTTAAATTATTTCACATATTATTAATTGATTTTATGTTGGAACCTTATCTTTGCTAATTAGTTCTAAATTGGAACTTAATTTATAATCTTTCTAACTCAGGTCAAGAATGTTGTTTTGAGGAAATATTCATCATACCTCTTCACATTTAAAGGGATTTTTTTTCATCACAATCTCTCAATAATCAAACTTAATTTAAATCAGAATGGATTGAATGATATCTTTTACTTAAATTATGATATAACCTCACCTATTTACCTTGCTTTGTGAGATTGTGATGAGTGTTGGTTCAATAAGTTCTTTTCACTTGATGACTTCACCCAATTCAGCATTGAGTGTAGGAGGTTTGATAGAAAAAGAAAAAAAACTAACTAATACAAATAATTTTTTTATTGGATTAAATTACATACAATCTCATGTATATTCACCTCTAATTCTAGATTTTTCCCGTGTCAACTTGAGATAAGTGCTGATTTAACAGGTTGGTTTCTCTCATATTTGAGAAAACGGGTTTAGCATCTCGTAATACATTTATCTAACTAATCAAAATACGTACAATCTCACTTATGTATACCCTCTACTTCTAGATTTCAGTGTCAACTTGATATAAGTGCTGATTTAATATATAGGGTTTCTTACATTTGAAAAAACGGGGTTGTCATCTAGTAAGATTGAAAACGCGCAACACTCATAAAAATGAAAAACAATTTTATAAATTTATTAAAGAATAAATTTATATCTTACTTAGATACGTTATTGTAAAATTATAATTTATGGTATATTTTACATAATTTTTCCTGTTGACCTATTTAGAATACATAGTGTACAAATTTTAATACAGAGTATAAAATACACATTTAAGATTACTAAGTAAAGTTGGACTTTTTAAAATGAAAAATTATGTAACATAACATTGTGATAAGTAAAAGAATAACGAGTCTTTAAATTTTAATACTTATTCTATTTCATCTATTTTACTATGTCCATAAAAGTAAATGTCTTTTGCATATTTTTCTACATGAAAAAAAATGGAAAGTTAGAAAGAGAAAAATAAAATATTTAATGGGCGAGACAATAAAAAAAATGAGATGCAAGTTTTTTGGAATAAAAATTATAATAAGAATAATAGAAAAATTATATTAATAAAGTGTATAAAGAGAAAAATCTTCTCATGTCATCACTCATACAAAAAAAAAAAATACCCAGGTATTCCAGTTGGGGATATCTTCCGATATGGAAGCCAACTTGCCTGTACTAATAGTTGTTTTTAAATCAAATATAAAATGAAGAAATTATTCGATAACCTACTTCAATAATTTATTCATGATTTAACTACATTTTATATGACATACAAGAATATAAAAAAATGACAATACTTAATTACATTTTGTATATAAATTAACCTAAATTATGTGATCAAATCATCAAATAGTTTCTCCATGGAAAGATTCTAGGACAAGCTTATGAAATGTATCAATAGTAAATAACTTGGTATAACTCAAAATGCCTTCAGAGATTAAAAAAATGACAAAATTTCAGAAGCAAAGAATCACACGATTTACCTAAAGTTTAACGACACGGACATAGGACTCCCAGGCCACCAAACTCGGAACTGAAACTGAAACACTAAACGCACGACCCATTCAACAACTCCCAACATCCTATACGATTCCTAAAGTGGTTTCTTTATCTCACTGATAAAGATCCAATCTTCTTCTAGACCACAACCTAGGTTTTCGTGGGCCCTTTCAACACTTTCAGAATTGTAATAAGATTCTCACTCCTATTTTTTTCATCCAGCACAACTGTTCTAATTTCCAAACGCACTGCATCTTTGTAGAAAAGACCACTCTCCTCAACACAACTATGTAAGCACTTTAATTACTATAAGATTAATTAACTATCCCGTCACCGTATTAATTATAATCTCCAACAATATTATAAATGATACCTATAGAGAACGTAACCCATTTCACCCTTTCACCGTTGAATCCAAAATAGCACTACTTATATCGAGTTACTGCTATTGTTACTAGGTGTACGAGTAAAGCACTGGACGCAATCGTTCTTCAATTTCTAAACCTTCGGCGTTTGAATGAAAGCGTCGCTGGTGTCTAACCTAACCAAGTGCTTTGGTTATTGCTAATTAAATTAAATATTAAACTATGAACGGTTCTTCAAATATTATTGTCTGTGCCTAATATCTTCAGCAACCAAATAATATCGTTACGAATCACAACACAAACAGCATTCAACATCGATGCACAAAATTTGACAGCATTCAACAACATCGACAAAAATAGAAAGAAAAATAGATCGATGGACGAATCGTGTACCTGGAGCTGGCGAAATCGTAGAGTTTTCCGGTACTGGAGAAAATCATAACGCCGACTTCAGCATCGCACAAGATCGCAAGCTCCTTCGCCTTCTTCAGCAAACCGTTCCTTCGCTTTGAGAACGTGACTTGCCTACTTGTCGAATTGTCAATCCTCCTTATCACGATCTTTCCTCTCCCCATGCCAAACCCTAACAATCAGATCCTTCCGATTCAGGAAAGCACTCGCTGCAAAACAGATCCACAAGCGAAACTTCAATTAGACGAACAAGAAGAAAAAATAAAAAAAGACAAAATCAAAACAACACACGGTTGTTGCGAAAGACAAATAGAAGACGCTTGGATCCACATGCTGTGGTGAATAAGGAAGAAAGAATTGATTTTCCCAGAAAGACAGAGAGAAATGTAAGGATATAAGAAAAAAAAATGATGAGAAGAGAGAAAGAAAGGAAAGAGAAAAGAGTGTGATTACTGAGGAAGGCGTTGGTTATAACAGACAAGGCGCTGAATGCGCATCAGCAACACGAGCTCGGTAGCTATATAAGGAAAGTAACGAAACCGCTTTTGAGTGGTGCAATGAAACCGCTTAGTGTGGCAGCGAAACCACTACTGGTTTTCCCTTGTGTTGCACGTGGCCCAACCAGCTTCTCGCGTTTCGTATGTTCCTCGAAGGGCGTGCCGACCACCGTTGGTACACTGACGCGTGGAGCTACGAATACGCATGCAGTAGATCGTACCGTAGTTACTTTTTTTGGGGATATGGCGCTTCTTTCAAATAATCGCCAGAGTGCGCTGTGCACCCTTAAAGTACAAACGCCACTTTCGTACATTGTCTGATATGCCCTTACTTCGTTACACATTTTTTTGTACACTGCACTGCTAAAGATGCTTTTCGTGTGGATATTTATGTTGTCCATTATACTAATGTACTTTCATGTCATTTCATAAAAAGAAAATATATATGGTGTCTGTTGCGTCATGGATAATAACAAACTATGCAAGTTCACAATTTATATCTTTTCTCAACCCTTTACTTAATTATTTCATTAGATATTAGTATAATAACAAACAGAGGAAGAATCTGCATTGATAATTTTCTCATACACTATCTGCCTTTGATGTAAGAAAGCATTATTTCTTGTTATTGAATTAAATTTACTTCTATATCATCGAAAATTTTAAAATTATTGGTTTATATTTGAATAAAAAATTTAATATAAAGAAACATTGTTTTATTAAAACAAATAAAGTAATTAAAATAACGACAATGTGAAACATATTTTATACACTGTCGTCTATGATAAAATTGTTAAATATTTGCAACGATTAGCTTGGAAGTTATACTAATATAAATTCTAATTTGTACAAAATGCATATATAAATAGCAAAGTTAAACTATTACGTTAAATGTAAAATTTCAAAATGAAAAAAAATGATTAAAATTAAAAAATTTCACATTTTACATATCAAAATCATATTTTAGATTGGAATGTCCTATACTTACATTGTTTCATGAATTAAGGTATACTATTTTTGTATATATCAATCTTATTTTATGATCAAAATTTATTAAATAAAACCTAAAATAAAAAAATTATTGTTTTCTTTTAATCTCTCTAGTAAACTCTTCCAATTTTGTTTTCCTCGTACAAACCTTAAATAGTTAAATGTGCCACAGAACATTGGTATCATATATAGGAAAAGTAGGTATATAATTAATTAAAAATCTCTTAATTATATGTTTGTTTACGAATCAAGTGACACTAGAGCACTATCACTGTCACAGTGGGGCAGTCAGATTATTACGATATTGCTGGATGGCTTCGTGATAACTTGAAGGGAATTAGAAAATATTTTTAAAATAAATATAAGAGAGTTATTTTTATATGAAGAGTAAAGATTCTTGAGAGGTGAAAACAAATATTTCAAAATAATTTAAAGGATTTTATTTTAAGATCTTTTAATTATTACATATCAAATGCTTAATAATTACTGTGTTTTAGAATAATTTTTCATTAAAATAAACTATTGACTACTAATATTAGTTTTAAAGCCCATACAGTATATCGTAAAAAGTCAATATAACATTTCTATTAGTCCTTTAAGTATTACATTTCAAATAGTAATGATTATTATTTTTTATAATTACTTTACATTAAAATATTGACTATTAACAATTTTTTAAAGTCAATATAACATTTCTATTATCGTTTTATATATATTTTTTATTCATACACATATAAATTTAGCCAAAATTTAAGGTTTTATGAATGGAGAAGCCCTAAAACATTTACTCTAGCGGCCTTAAATGTTAAACTGGCTATGATAACGTCAATAATGTATGATATATGAATTATAATTTTTTGGGAAAATCTTAACATTTATTTTCTAGTGAGTTCAAATAAGTATTACGAAAGATATTATATTTGAGTCACATATGAACAAGTTTTAAGTAAAATTTAGCAAAGTTATACATGCTGTTTTATTTTTATTTTTTTTGTAACGATGACAATAAAAAATTTAACCTAATCTCTAATATATGAATTTACTACACTCCACCATTAAGTCAATCATAGTGGGTTATTTGAATTTAGAATTACTACTAAAAATATATGTCACGATTTTTTACTAATAAGTTTATAATTTTCTTTCGTACAAATAAAAATGATATATGTATACCTAAATACTAAAAATAATAATTATTTTATGTGTACACTATAAATATTTAAAATGTATAATACAAATAAACCCATTCAACACGCGAAAATGTAGTTAATATTAATTTAGGCTTTTGAAATGACGTTAACAAATTCTTCTAAAATGACAAGGATATCGTTTGAAACAGTGAATAATATGTTAGAGTATTTGTTTGTAAAATCCTAATTTAACCAATTAATAATTATATTACTCTTCTTAACAAGTATAAGAGCTTTCATGGAATAATTTGATCGTTTAAAAAACTAAACCGTTTTTATATTTTACCAAAATGAATAATTTTATTTTAATTTAACATATATTTGATTTTATTTTCCTCATTAATGTTCTAACAACATTTAGTTGGTTAAAATCTTTGTCATCACATAGGAAAGAACAGTACAGACTGAATTTTTTGTTTAATTATTGCATATCCCTTGTGACTTGGAAGGGACACCTGAAGTTAGGTGAATAATATAATATTATATCCAAGCTTTATTTGAGCATGATGCTTATGCTTGGCACAAATGATTACACATATTACCTACATTCATTATGTATTAACCTTTGTTTATCAACATCATTTTATATAATATGTATTTTATGAGGTCAAATATATATATAAAAAAAATACCAACTATGAATATTTTTTTGAAGTGAGTTGCCACTTGATATATAATTTTGGCTAATATATATTTTTATTACCTTGAAAAGTTTAATAATTTTGTATTTATGACCTCCAAGCTTAGAAATCAAAGGTTTTGTAAAAATATTTATATATTTTATACTTAAATCATGAAATAAATATTTATTTATATACATATCTATTATTATGTGGATTTATTTTAGTAGTTTTTGAAATATTTTATATATTTTTTTAAACTTTTGAATTTTGTTATCATAAAAATCTATATGTTTTTTTTATCATACATACTAATATAGCTAATGAAACAACGAACATAAAATAAATGAAGAATTAAAAGTAAAAAAAATTATTCTAAAGGAAATATTATATTTAGATTAAAAAAATATTAAAATATGATTTTTCTGTATGAGAATATTGTTTAGTTGGTGCATTTGTTGTGGGACGAGGTTTGATGAGGCGCGCATATAGACCCATACTAAATTGACTATATTGTAGTGAAAGAAACGCAAGTGGATCCATTAATTAGGTAAAATCACGTGAAGAAAGTGCACTTTCATGGAGCATGAAGAATCATGATTGGTTTGGTTGGTGTAGTGGACTATATTTAATTTTCTTTAATTTAATCAAACTCGCAGGATTCCACAATGGTTTACCGGACAGAGATATCTGGTCCCAAGTATATCTGCGAAGGGCATGTGTGGCAAAAGAGAGAAAACAATTTTGAGGAAGGTGGAAAAGTTCGCCGAGTGTTGGTCGTGCATAGCAGGTACGATGAAGGAAAGGGGCACGTGTCGCTTTTTATGTGGAAAGTGGAAAGCGAAGGTTCATAAAGAATGGAATTTTTTTTTTTGAATTGTTAAGGTTACCAAATAAGGAATCCACCACGACGCTGCCAAAAACCATGGTATTTCGATGCTGTGTGTCCGTGAGTCACTGACAATGGTGTCTCCCACTATTGGATAATCATCACCCTTATTTAAACCTTTATATTTGGCAAATAAAGAAGAAATAGAAAGTGAAATTGGATAAGAGAAAGACTTGGATGGAAACTAACCTATATAAATGTGATGTGTATGTAACACGCCGAAACCCTCTTTGTCGCGGATAGAAATGTAGTAGTGCTTGGTTTGAACCAACTATGCTGATTTTAGTCACGAAGAGAAGAAAAACAACAACGAAGGCACGGGAAAGAAAGTCACAACTGAAGCACTTCACAGTTTGAGCACGAGGGGAGTGAGGGTGTTGATATATTAAACAAAAACAGAAAGAAGATCTTTATGGTTTGGAATAGGTTTGTTAAAAAAAAAATTTTAATTGAATTTAATTAATATTGAACCGAACTAAATTGTCATAAAACAATATTATTTTAAAAAAAAACTAGGTTGGAAATAATCATATCCAAATATAAATAAAATTTATGATTTGATTCGTTTTGAATGATTTTTCCAACAAACAATATAATTCAATATAATAAAAAACTAGAGTAGATGACATTACTCCTGGTGTTTTGTTTTTTATAAGAAGATAAATTAATTAATCTCTCTTTTTATCATATTTATTAATTTATAAGATGTGAATAAAATAAAATGACTTAAATAAGACTTAGTCATAACTAAAATATTGTAAAATAAAACTTTTGGACGTCTCTTAACGTATTGTAAGATTGAGAAACATCTTATTAATGAAGAAAATAAAATTATAAAAATAAAACGTTTAAATAAATGTCATATAATTACTTAGTAAAATAAACACGATTTTTTTATTATTACTATATAAAGTAGCTTGTTTTGTTTGAATAACTATTGCCTATTTGTGTAATTTATAAATTTTCTCAAAATTTAAAAATTACATAAATTTAATTTTCTATTTGAATAACTTGGTTTATTTGATATATATATATATATATATATATATATATATATATATATATATATATATATATATATATATATATTTCCTCCAAATTTAATTGTTGTAAATATAATATTGACGGAATGTAAAATTATTGTAAAGTTCAACTTTTCAATGTCTCGATAAATATCTTATGAATAAATAAAAAACATGTGATATAATTGATAGATTCAATTCTTATTTTTAAGGTATTGTCTACTTTGGAATTTTAATCTTAAAAGTTGTTTGAATGGATTAACAGATGAGAGTGTATATAAATTATTTTTGGTTTCGACTCCTAATCGATATGAGATTTATGAATGTGTCGTTTTGATGGATTAAGAGATGAAATTGTATATAAATTATCTTTGATTTTGATTCCTAATTGATATGAGATTCATAAACATATCATAACATAGCCCCTCATTCAATGACTAGGGGTATGATAGTGGAGTGAGACTCGACTCTCAACTCCATGGTGGGCGCCAATATTCCGTTTAGGAATGAGAGTGTCCTAATCTCGTGTCAGCTATGGTTGTAAATGCTGACAATGATACAAACAAAACTTGATTCATGAGACGTGTATAACCACTGCACTTAAGAACTTATTACACTATATTGCGCAAGTCCCCCAGGATACAATAAGAACTTCTTGAAATTTTCGAGGAACTCAAAAACTAGCAAATAACTCTTAAAAGAGTGAAAAGGATAAAAGAAATGGAAAAAGAGAAAAGAGAGGATTAGTTAAATTGTGTCTTTTGAAGGAGTATGAAGTGGTCTATTTATAAGTGTAGTATGAGCAACAAACTCATCTCCACATTCAACATCATGGATAGTTGTGACCTAGAAACATGGGAGAGTGGAACACCTCTAGGTTAGCGAACATGTTATAGGTTAGTGGAACATGTTCTAAGTTTTGTAATACCCCTATTTTACAACAATCCCCCACATATTACAAAACAAAAAAGAGATAAAAGAGCAAAAGAATTTTTTTTTGAGTCTCATATAAGATGTAAGATGTAATGCATCAGAACTGGTATAACAAACTATATGAACCAGTCTTAGACTGAAAAACTTAACATACAGTGTAGCTGGTATAACAAGTTATATGAACCAAAACACTTAGTGTGTGCTAGCGGTTTAACAATCACAATACACCCCACAATTATTGTTGTTATCGCTGTGTTACGCTTACTAGGTTATGCACATGCCTGATATTTAGGAGTGCTCTAAAAATCTTGCAAAGATCTCATATAAGCGGTCTCACTTGTAAGAATTAATGGTTGAGTTCAAGAGGGGGGTGAATTGAACTTTAGAAAACTTTTTCTAAAAACACACTTTCTCTTGGAAGAATGAATTATCTTTATTCAATTCTTCTATTAGGTAGATTTAGTTTTAATCAAAGCAAGAATATAGACAAGAAATAAAAGAGATGAAAGCAGAAATTCAACACAAAAGTTTATACTGGTTCACTCTTTCCCAGAACTACATCCAGTTCTTGACAAATCTGCCAAGTTCCACTAATTCCAAGTGAAAATTACAACCAGTAGATATACACCAATCTACCCCAAGAACTATCTCACAAACCCACAAGATAGACTCTTGAATAACCACCCAGTAACCAAATCCAGTTACTGTAACCAGTGCAGATTCAAACCCAATCTACACAATCACACTTTATACAAGTAAATGAAAAGAATAAACCTGGACTACAACTTTAACACTATAGAAGTCCAGAAACAATTCTAACTCTGAACTTTCTCTCTTTGATGATCTTTCAACAATCTTGATCTAAACGCCTTATGATATGAAAAGTGTATGAATGCACAGAGAAAGGCACGTATATGAGAACTCTAAGATTGCTTTCAATTGTTTTCCAAATTGTATATTTCAAAAGAGAAATCAAAACTGTATTTATAGAATGAAAGAGAGAAACTGATTGATTAAACTGATTAAAACTGATTTAGAGTAGCAGATGATCGATCAGAATATCTATATGACAGATCAGAATCAGTTATGATCGATCAGAATTGAATTGTGATCGATCAGAATGTTTTTCAATCGATTAAAATGTCGTTTTAATCGATTGATTTTATTTAAAACTTCATTCAATCGATTAATTCGAGTTTTCAATGGATTGAAACAGTTTAGAAAAAAATGGTAGCTCTCTGTTTCAATCGATTAAAAGATATTTCAACAGATTGAAATCCTGTAATACCTTAAAATGAAAAAATGATCTCTCTGTTTCAACAGATTAAAACTAATTTCAACATATTGAAATTCTGAGATACTCCAAAGTGAAAAATAACATCTTTCTGTTTCAACAGATTGAACTTGATTTTAACAGATTAAATTTGTGAAGCCATTAATATGGAAAAATCATTAAGAACATTTTAACCTGTTGATTCTGCGATTCAATCAATTAAAATTTTGACAGCATATGAACATTCCTATTTTAAGTGATTTTAACAGATTGAAAAAACTGAGTTTGTTCTTTTAATGCTAAAAGGTTGGTTTTTCATGCAGTAAAATAAGTTCAATGATATGCATCATTTAAAGGCACTTATCATAAGATTTATTGAACTATCAAGAGATTAAACTCTAAACCTATAACCTATCTATCTACACACCCACAAAATAAACTCTCTAAACTTTATATGTCTTCATCAAATCCAACAAGTGCTTCAATCTCCCCCTATTTGATGGAGACAAATCACCACTGCACCTGCATAAACAATAACAGAACAGAGACATATATGATTTTGTGATGTGTGCGTAGTGTCAGTTATAAGCAAAATACTTCTCCCCCTATTTGACTTCATCAAAAAGTGTTTAGTTACAGTCCATAAGTACCACGTAGGTACAAAAAAAAAACAAAAGAAACATGTGAACTTAAAGAGCTAAACTTCAATCATCTCCATCCCAGGGACCCTGATTGAATTGGAGGTCACCAATTCTGTTGAAGATATCCTCCAGTTGATTATCAATGTGCTAAAATCTGGCAATGGAGTCTTCATACAGTCGATGCTGGCGAGCTTGTAGAGAAAATGTCATTTCTATGTGCCTCCTTTGATTTGTTTGTAATTCATTCATCTGATGCAGCATGGTCCTTTCAAACTGTGAGAGAGGCGTGCCACGGCCAGGTTGTGGTATATAAGGAATCACTTCCAATGGAGACTCGCTCTTCCATGACATCTTCCATAGGGCCTGTTTGTCTTGCTTTTGCAACGACTCGAGCACCAAGTATTCTCATCTTCTTCAACTTCTTCTTCTTCTTCTTCTTCTCTCCCAGCTTCTTCTTTCGAAATCCACTCACCATCAATCTTGATGAATCCCATTTTATGAAGGATGGAGTTGTTAACCTCATTCGTGGGACGAATGGTTTCAGCCAATTCTCCTTCCAAGTCAACACCAAAATGAGTTAGAAATTTAGAAATAAGGATTGCATAAGGATACCTAAAATCACTTAGCCTTTTTGCTTTAATCATATGGTCCTTGATGACAAATACCCAGCTTTACTCGATTCTCGTGATGGATGCAAGTACATCAGCACTAAATCACCTTCATTTAAGTATCGCATGATTGCTCCCCCGGGAGTAAGCTCGCTAGGCCACTATGAATGAAAGAATTCTTTCTTCAAGTTTCAACTTTCCAGTGTTGAAGGAACTCACAGGGTCACGCTTATTTCTCAAACAAGAGCGAAAGTACTGGACTTTGTTGAATTCGTCCACATCAGAGGTATACCCTTTAGTGACTTTTACTCCTTCATCCTTGAGACCAACAACATCTTTCCAGACAGTGGGAGTAATTTCTATTTCCACTCCTTTGACTTGAGTTTTTAGTGTAGACCCTTCAAATGACAGATTAGTGAAGAGAACTTTAATAAGGTCAGGATAAACTCTACCATTGAGTTCAAGGAACTTCTGAAGTTTCTGGTGTT